GGGAAAATAATTCCTCTACCTTAAATCAATGATTTTATCTTATTTGTTTCGCTTTTAAATTTTGTTCACATTTGCAATTATGGTGTACATTTACTTATTTTTTATATATCACTTATTTATTATTTTAAATTTGAAAGTAATTTCAAAGTTGTAAAATAAAAATAGTACAAGGAACATCCACATACTATTTACCCAGATTATCTATAAACCTTTTACTTCATTTGCTTGTATTTGCTCTCTCACTCCTGTGTGTGTATATATGAGTGTATAATATACATACATACACATATGCACATACACACAGATATATATATGCACACATATAAGCATATATATATATGCATATTGTATTAGTCTACTAGGGCTTCCATAACAAAGTACACAACTGGGTGACTTAGCAGAAATTTATTTTCTCGCAGTTCTGGAGGCCAGAAGTCCAAGATAGAGGTGTTAGCAGGATTGGTTTCTTCTGAAGCCTCTCTCCTTGGCTTGCAGATGCCCATCTTCTCCCTGTGTCTTCACGTGGTCTTCCCTCTGTACAGGTCTGTGTCCTAATCTCTCCTTCTTAAAAGACCAGTCATATTGAATTAGAGCCCACTCTAGTGCCTCATTTTAAGTTAATTACCTCTTTAAAGACCGTAACTCCAAATACAGTCATATTCTGAGGTACCGGAGGTTAGGACTTCAATAGATGAATTTTGGAGTGAAACAGGTCAGCCCATAACACACATATATACACATAGATCTAAATATATGTATAGTGAGAGGGATACACACACATATGTGGGTATGTATGTGAGTGTATATGCACGCATTTGTGTATATGCACACACATATATACGTAAATGATATTTTTTCTGAACCATTTGAGGGTAAGTCACTTACATCATATCACATACATCACCTTTACCCCTAAATATGTCTATTTTCTACTGTTAAATTTGTCTATTTCCTAAAGATAGGAATATTCTCTTGCCTAAACATATTGCATTATCAACTTCTTACAGTCACTCTGATATAATCCTACTCCAACCTTCCGTACTCCAATTTAGTCAGTCAATCTAATAATGTCCTTTATAACATCTCCCCCTCCACCACAGCATAGTGTCCAGGTATTGCATTTAGTTGCATGTGTCTTTATCCTCTTTTTATATGGAATATTTCCACAGCCTTTCTTCATCTTTTATGATACTCACATTTTTAATAAGTACAGTCCAGCTTTTTTTTAATGGAATGTTTACCATTTTTGATTTTTCTGGTGTTTCCTTGTGATAGGATTGAATTAGACTGAGGTTATATATTCTTGGTTGGCATACTGCATAGGTGTGTGTGAGTATATTTTTGTAGATTGTTTCCTTAGAATAAATCCCTAGATATGTGATTATTAGGTTAAAAATAGAAAAGACATCATGATTGTAGGTAGGTTCTGCTCAAATGTTCTCCAAAAAAGAACTTCTCTATGGTTGGATTCTGATGGGAAATGCTGAGTAACTTATGCTCTCAGATAACTAATTAAATATCATTCTAAACAATACGCATTAGCAATTAATATATAATTTGGAAAACAAATGAAAATATGAATTATTTAAGGTAAATTATAATTGGATACTTTAGAGGATGTTTATTTCCATGTTTTCCAATGTCAAAAGAATTGCCATCTTAATGAAATATACAAAAATTTTTCAAAATGTGGACATGTACCTGGAGGATATGAGATAATTCATCACATCATGACAGAATTGTCGCCTTTTCACTTCTCCATTTGATTACATGGAGGAAAGTCTCCATTTGGTACTAGTATGTTTTTAACACCATTAATCTCCTTTTTAACAAAGAGAGAGCCAGGCCTTAGGCTCAGAGCCTTGGGAAGGCAATAGAATCGAGGTAGAATATAATACATAATTATATTTGTGATTACCTTTTAATTATGAGAAGGGACTGATTTTCTACTTATAGTCATGCTATAGCATTTCTTTTTAAAAATTTAAGTTCAAAAATTTCAATTTATAGAAAATATTAAGTATATATCATATATGGAAGCACAAATAGAGAAACCTGGAATCGAGAAGGACTGAAATTTGAGAAATGGTGACATAAGGAAAGAGATTGAGCCCAGGGAATTGACTGCTAACTCCTGTGATCTCCAGCAGAACGTACTTGTTCCTAAGGAGACTAGCATAGTTAATTTACATTGTAAGAATTTGGTACATTTGACTTTTTCCATGATTTGGAAGTGGTTTTAACAAACATTGCCCGCTAGCTATGGTCTACCTGTAATTCCATTACTCTATAAAGTCAATAGGCCTGAAGCAGAGGTATTATGGAATATTTAATAATTTTCTTGAAAAAGGAATGGACCATTTTAATCTTTAGTTGACAAAGAGAAGTCTTCCTTTATCACTTATTATGTACCAATGTAGTGGGCACTGTACGTGATTTTCCCAGTAATCTTCACAACAGTACATGGGATGAAGAACATAATGCCCATTTTAGAGATAGGGCTCAAAGAAGCTCAAAGAACTTCTCAACATGAGATAGAAGGCAAGAGTAAACGCGAAGTTCCTAGTGTTACGTCTGGCCCATGTAGCAGCTACTAAATAGATGGTAGTCGTCATTATTGTCATAGTAACAGGCAAGCTCAGGATTTAATCTGAGGTCTGCTCAATTCAAGCCCATGCCTTTTTATAACGCCATGCTGGGCCCTGGAGAACTGCAAAAAAAGAAAACAGATAACTTAAAGATAACTCAAAACAGTGTTAAATCCATGTATAATTCACTCAACAGACCTTTCCTGTCTATTACGTCCCAGATGCTATGAAATGAGCCTAGTCATTCCACGTACCTTTACGCTGCTTGGGATCCCACAGGTTACCACAGTGCCCTGTTCTTCCCTCTCAAACCCAGTGCATTGTAATTTCTGAGTTAATGTCTATCGTCTGTGCTAACGAGTAAACTCTTTGTAGGAATCATGTCAACTGTGATGACCACTTTATCTCCAGTATGTATCATAGTGACCAATATATAAGCTTAAATATTTGAATTGGAAAAAGTTGACATAAAAATCAGTGTAAACATATATATGTTAGCTTTATTAACATTTCCCTCCAAGAAACTTTCAAACTTTAAAAAAAGCCTCCATTTTATATATATGATCCCAGTTATGTTAAAAAAGAAACAAAGGCTGAAGGAAATTTCTCAAATTTCTTTGTGGGTAAGTGGGATTATCAGTATTTCTCACAACACTCTCCGTATTTTCTATGTTTTTTTTACATTTATAATAGTAGAAAGGAGAAAATGAAAATCTACTAATGCCAAAAAGTAACCTGTCAAGTCTAAAAAAGCTGAACATAAAAGTACACCTTTATGTGTAGAAAAATACAGATATACTGTATAAAAGATATAGCATCATTTATAATCACCACTAACAAGACCTACATGCTTCCATTCTCCTTGTCCCTCTCCTACAAACTGAAGGGTTCGTGTAAGCAGGGGCCTTAAGGACAGCATGCCCTTCTCCCAAATTCTTGGGCAGAATTAGGAGGTGGTAATTAGACTGCATATGGAATCCCCAGAACAAAAGCGGGGCGTAGCTGGGCGAGGTCGCCCTCTCGTGGGGAAGTAAGAAAATGCAACCACCCCAAACCATCTTGGCTGGATCGTCAAGAGCACTTAAGGCTCTTAGGGCAAAAGGTATTCGCTGAATGGTGGCCTCTGATTTTTAGTTTCATGTTTAGATAGCAAAACTCATTTCTCTATTTGGCCTGAGGATAGTATATTGGAGAGCCACTAACCTACGTCTTAGGAGACCTGGGTTCATTTTTACTTTCATGAAGAAATAAGAACATACTTCTAAAAGTCGTAATGTGCTGATAGGCTGTTATAGGTTTGGGAATAATGAATTTTTGAAGCTGAAGGTCATTTTGGAAGTTGAAGTGTAAATGTTAATTTTTGAAAATATTGAGTACGTGTTTAAAATCTCTGAGCCTCAATTTCTCATCTGCAAAATAGAGTAATAGTACCTCATAATGTCATTTTGAAAATAACGTGAAAAAATGCAGTTATTTAGCATAGTGCTCAGCAGACAGTAAATGCTTTTATAAATGACAGCCATTATTTTAGCTTTTACTCACATTTCATAATCTTTGCAGTAATCATTTTACTTTGTGGAACAACTTCTCCAGTGTTTACAAAAAAGAACTCTAAGGAATCTTAGAGATTGCATCTAAGAAAAACGCATGTATTTAAAAAGAACGATATATGGCTAAAAAATATATTATAAACGGAGACTTGTTCACTGAAAAATTGTTTATTAAAGTGTTAATGTTTTATATAGTTGGTTCAATATTTGTGTAATTTAAAATCCCGAGTTGCCCCTGGTTGATCGAGATACAATACAAGCATGTGTAAGAACCACTATACTCTCTGATACTTAATATAACTAGACTTCTCTTTCATTTGTCAGATAAATAAAACATTAACCTTTCAAAGTTATACCTTTACAAGTTCACGAATTCCTATTTTTGAGTTTTTTTAAATTATATTTTAAATCTTCTTAAGAGGAAGCCAAAACCCCCAAATCAAAAGTCTTAATCTGCCTTTCACAATATCTATATATATCAAATCATCACGATGTATACTTTTTTTTTTTTGAGCCTGGGACTCTTGCAGGTGCTTTTTTTTTATATATAATTTTATTTATTTATCTATTTTTCCCCCAAAGCCCCAGTAGATAGTTGTATGTCATAGCTGCACATGCTTCTAGTTGCTGTATGTGGGACACAGCCTCAGTGTGGCCAGAGAAGCTGTGCATCGGTGTGCATGTGGGATCCGCCAGCAGCAGAGCGCGCACACTTAACCGCTAAGCCACAGGGCGGCCCGATGTATACTAAATATCTTACAATTTTGTCAGTTACACCTCAATGAACCTGAAAAAAAAGACTGAAACCTCACGTGCGCGCGCACACACACGCACACAGAAAAAGCCTTAACTGGAACCAACATTGAGAAGTAGAGCGATGGAAGATCATTTATTCATCACACAGAACAAAAATACAGAATATATTTATTAATTTATTTTCCCCTAAAGAGAATATACTTTCTATTTGGAGAAATAAAAGATTAGTTGTCAGGAGTTGCTTTTGGAGAATGATCAATAAGCGCCTTATCAACAGTCGGATATTGATACCAGGGACCATCGCCTCTTGCACGCATTAATCTTCGTACTTCCAGCTCCTTTAACCTGTAACAAATGGAATAGCAATACTGTGATTCCAGCATTTCCAATTACAAATTTAATAAATTATCTCCATAAAGGATAACCACTAGAGGGCCAGCCCGGTGGCGAAGCACTTAAGCGCGCAGGTTTGGAACCCAGGCGCGCACCGATGCACCGCTTGTCAAGCCATGCTGTGGCAGCGTCCCATATAAAGTAGAGGAAGATGGGCACAGATGTTAGCCCTGGGCCAGTCTTCCTCAGCAAAAAGAGGAGGATTGGCATCAGATGTTAGCTCAGAGCTAGTCTTCCTCACAAAAAAAAAAAAAAAATAACCACTAGAGAGTCTTTAGCTTTTATATAAAGTATAATGTCCCTCCACAGATCCATGTGTATGCATATAGCGGATATACACCTATAAGCAAAATTTGGGACTTATTTTTTACTTTTATTATCTTGCTTATGTAGTTAGCCATCAAATACTGTTTTAATCACCAAAACATCACTTGAATTGAGGATTGATTCTCGCCCCTGTCTCTGCTCTTTGTCTGGACAGATCACTTTCATTTGAATAGTGGTAATGCGTTGCCTGTCTTCCTGCCTTTTAGATGTTAGAGCAGTGTCGCTTACACAATGCCTACCATTATGGCCACAGTGCTAGGAATTAAAAAAATGAACAAGGCTTCTTGGAAGAGCTCACATGCCTTATCTATACTGGCTGTCCATCACATTAGGACAGAAAACCTCTCAAGAGCAGGAATGATATCTTACTCACCAGCCACCAGCATCATACTGTGCCTGGTCAACATCAGACAGACAATCAATACTTGTAAAGAAAAATCAGGACTAAGAAAAACAGTCTCCAACTCTAAGATCTACTTACCTGTCCTCATCCTTCTTCACAAACTGTATAATCTGTATTGTATAAAGATACTCTCCTTCTTCCACATCCAAGCCTTTCCACAAACTACCACACATTCCTGAAATAGTCCCTCTCCATCGAACCTTTTACTTTCCATTTTTATAGACTACATATTAACTTTTTCATATGACTGGAAATTAATCACAGTTTAAGAATTCACTTTACTAACCTTAACCAGCTCACTAACTCTATCTATGAGAGATGACATACTTTTGTGATTGTGGATCTATCTTTTGTTTTTTTTTAATTTAAAGCTATTTTATTTATTTATTTATTTATTTAATTTTCCTGTGTGAGACTTTTGGTACAAGTTTTATTGGTTACAAATGGGCAATAGCACATGGTAACATTTTTTAACTGAGGTAACATTGGTTTATAACATTATATAAATTTCTAGCAATATTTATCTAAAATGTAAACATATAACATTTGGCCACTGCTAGGAATTTATACTGTATACTGTATACAATGTATACTCCAGATACATTGAATAAACATGCAAAAATATATGTATGAGGATATTCACTACAGCACTATGTATAATATCAAAAAACTTGGAAAGAACCTAAGTACCAACAATAGAGGACTGGTTAAAAAAATTAAGGTACATCCATCCAGTGAAATATATTATGCAGCCATTAAAAAGAATGGGTTATATGCTATCATAGAAAGACCACCAAGATATATTTAAGTGAAATGAAGACAAGGCACAGAACAGCATTTATAAGAGGATTCCATTTGGGTTAATATATTTTTTAAATGATATACAAAATATATTTTTTAATGCATAAAGTTTTTTCTAGGAACATATATAAAAATTCCTTAAATAGTGGTCACCTCTAAGGATGAGACTTGGCGCAGGAGGAAAAAGAAATTGGGGAGGGAGGGAAGAGGAAGACTGCCTTGCACTTAAGAGTAGGACATTTTTAAAAAGAATTCCTTTTAATCTGTCGGATATTATCTCCTAATAGCCTCCTAGTCTCCAACTCAAAATCTCCACTCTAGACAGACTAATTCTCTCCCCATTGTCCTCCTTTTACATAGAGCATTATAGATATTGAAATAGGTTTATTAAATTTTTTCCTGTGGTTTGCAACCACAGGAATGGATTTTCTTCCCGGCCCTCCCCCTCCTTTTTTTTACCGTAAGTCAGCCTTTTCAGCTTCAATTTGAAGGATAGCCAGTGTTTTTTCATAATTCTTTTCAGGACCATCAAAGAAAGTTCGGGCAATCCATCTTGATATAGGATGCTACAAGAGAAAATTTGTTTAAAATTAGTTTCTGAACAGTACTTTGCTATTCCAGTTTACTATTCTTTAAAATGACCATCTCAGGTAAACCAATAACACTTACAATGTGCCAACTACTTTATATATATTTCAAATAATTTTAATCCATTGGGTGGATACTATTTTTGTCCCCATTTTATAGATGAGCAAATTGCACAAAGTTATACAGTTACTACGTGGCAGCATCTGGACTCAAACAGGGTCTGTGTGACTCCAAAACCTATGCTCTTTCCCATTACACTACACTGAGTATCTTAAGTGGCAGATTTAAAAGCCAAACCCAGGGTTTAGTGAACCAAAAATGGAGCCCTTTCTATCAGTTAGCAAAGATAAACTAATTGTATGGCTTACCTTAAGATTTAATAATGAAGTATTTCTTTTCTAAAATATAATTCATTTAGATAATAAAACATGATGGGATATACTCTAATCAATGCATTCTCGATACAACACTTGTAAAGACAAGTAACAGAATTAATTTTGGGTTTTAGTAGCAGTGAGTGTGGTAAAATGACTAACAGTGCAGGCTGTGGAGTCAAGACTGCCTGGTTCAAACACCGGCCCTATCTCTTGGACTGGTCACTTACCCTCTTTTAAGCCTCAGTTTCCTCATCTCTAAAGTGGGAATACTAATAGCACCTTTTACATGGAATGAGATAATATTTGCAAAACACTTATCATAGTGCCTGCTACACAGTAGATGCTCAATAAATGACAGCTAGCATTAGTATTGGTAAAATCTTTCCTATGGCACCGAACTAAGGATAAATTCTGACTGTTACTCTGCTAGCTTGAGAACACACTACAAAGTCTTTCTTTAAAAAACCGTAAAGCTTAAAGTAATAAAACAATGAAGAAAATTACCAAAAGAAGTTGCTTATAAACAGTGAGCACAAAATGTATCATCTACTCGATATCAAAAATCGAATATAAAACTATTATCATAATTGCTAAATTAAGACATTAACCATTGCACTGAAAGACACCTAACAGAAAGTAACGTTCAATGACCTACACCAACCTTGAAATATTCCCAGTGTTCTGGGACATAGCCTTCTGGAATTTCTGCTAACTCAGCTTCACCTAATAAGAGAAAATAGCGATGTTCAACTTTAGTATCAGGAGTTGATAATGTTAATTCTTCACTCTTTAGGTAAGAAACCAAGTCTTGTGGTTTTAAAGGATCTTTTGTTTGTACAAATGAAGTTATCTAATATTTTAAATTCACTTCAATCTGGTTGAAAATCAATTCATTTGTTAGATATTTTTTAGATGTTTTCTTTGTGTCAGGCATTGTCTATAGGCATTATATGTATTCCCCATTTTGTTTTCATATGGTGTATCAAGGTACAATAAAAGACATATTAAAAAAAAGACATTATTCCTTCTGGTTTTCCCTATACCTACTAGACAAAACATTTTAATATTCAAGATGTTAGAAAGACTTTGAGCAGAACTTCCCATGAAAATCTAATGTTCACTGTCATTCCCAATTCCACTCTTTTTCAGAAGATTGTAATTCTCTATGTTCCAGGATAGATAAAACAATTCTTCCATCCCTTCGCCTCTCTTCCACGTCTATCTCTTTCTAGTTTCCTTATTCAGACTTGTCAAAGCTGGCTTTGGGAAATGAAGAGGAGGAAAACAAGGCTTTCTGAAGCCTTTTATGTGGCCTCTACAGAGTTGGTGACCTTAAAGGTTTTTGGAGGGAAAAAAAAAAAAAAAACATTGCAGATTAAGATTTGGTTATTTTAAAATAAATTCCCATGCTTATGTTTATTTTATTATTTAAAGAAGTTTGCCTTATACTATCCATAATTTTTTTTTATTAATGTACATAGGTTTTAAAAATTTACCAATTTGGTGGCGGGGGGTGGTACTTACCAATGAATACGTTCACCAGAGTTATGCCAATTGCTACTGGAATCCCAGTCAACAAAATGTAAAATTTCTGTTAAGATTAAAAAAAAAAAAAGTTTTCACATAACCATTTCCTAACTCTTTCCTCACCCTCAAATTTCCCTCAGGACATGACTTCCTTATATTTCTTGTAACATAAACCTGCCAAATTGGAGATGCAGTATCATATTATTTATTTCTGTGATTTTCTTTTGCTCTAGCTTTTAGATGCCTATATTTAGCACCAGAAATGAAAGAAAAAAGTAAGGATTAATTGTACAAGTATAATACAATATATATTTAAGTGATTTTTCATTTTTTGGTTGAAGCAATGCAATAAAAGTTAGAACTTTTTGTATTAAGAAGAAAAGCATAAAAACATTAGGATGATTTCAACCACTGCACAGAGTTTGCGTTGGTCATCACAAGAAAAGGGGGAGCTCAACCAAGGGGTTGAAGAGGGGCAGTAAGCACAATGGGCAGGCAGGAGAAGGTCTAGACGGCAGCCAGTGCTCAAACAGCGGGTCAGAGCTTCAGGACAGCGGCAGACAGTCCAGACAATCTTCCCTCCTCTAAGCCTCTAATTTTCCTTATAGAGCCTTAAGTTACAAATATATCATCAGTACCCCGCTTCAGTCTCTGAAATCAATGCTCCTGAACAAGACAGAAATAAAAAAAATCATATCCCAAAATAGTGAAGTTACTTAAAGTCTTTCATCGAGTTCTTTGGCAACTTAAAGAACATTTTAGTAATACAAATAATTATCCCCAAATGAATCGTTTTCAAAGTTTTATGATTTATAGATTTTTTTTTTTTTTTTGCAGGGAACACAGATTATATTTCAAAACCCCATAATCTTGAGAAGAAAGGAAAGGCTCAATTTTTACCCCCAATATGGATGAATCCTTTTTTTGAAGAAGGAAATGTTCACTAATTTAAAAAGAAATTCAGTAACAAATTAGACCTTACTACACAATTTCAATATCTTTTGAGAAAAGAAATATGAATTTACAAAATAAAATCTTTTATAAAATAAAAGATGTTTTCTAAACAGGCAAAAAAAAATTCCTATTGGTATGTAAAGAGTTTAATTCCACAAAATTTTTAACTCACCATTAAACTCAAAAAACGCCTGTCATAGAATCCAGAAGGCTTGATGATAAACAGTCTTTTCCCATGGTCTCCACTGTGTCGCACAGGAGCTGGAAATATTAAATTACCCTGTTATATACAAGGTTCATATGGGTATACTGCTACATTCTGAGATAAAATCAGATTGTAAGAAAATGTACATGCATACATATTTAATATGAATTAATATAAAAAAAGTATGCTTCTTTATTTGAGTACTAAAGGCAGGGCAGATAGGGTATCTTTAAACAGACTGATGTACTGTTGTAAACTACAGCTCTCCTCATTTTTATTCATTGTTAAAGCAATATCTAAATAACTGAATTTGTTTCTATAGCAGGCAGGGAGGTCAGATACTCTTGGTGGGCTACTTATCTTTGTTTACCTCTATAATAAATATTTGCTAATGCTGCAAAAGAAATAAATTTAATTTAAATTATGCCATTTCATCTAATGAGGCAATATACGTCAGGGACTTAACTGTAAAATAGGTGGAAAGATATTTATTCAACATATCTGCAGCACCTGTTCAAAAGTAAACACTAATATATCTTGAAAAAATCCCTTTGTAAGCCATTTCTGATTGTGAATCTCCTCCTCTTCAAATCCTCCCCCAGATTGTATTTAATAAGCTTCAATGGAGATACACAGAGGCAAAATTCCACTTCTGGATCTTCTTTCTATACTATTTCCCTTTCTTGGAAGTCTGGAAGGATCACTACAGGCACTCTAAGCCCTTTCTGCTGGAAGCAGGAAAGGACCTAACTGAGGGTTACCATGTTTCTGCTGTGTAAATGCAGTCAAGGAAATTTCACATGGGAGTCACTGCAGATTAAAAAACTAATTTACCATTAAAGGAATTTCAGTCAAAACACATGTCAGAAAGATGTCTATCCTTTATTTAAATCAAGCTTAAATGTCTGGAATGCCCTCCACTCTCCTGAAGTCTGCTCTTTAGGCCCAGATGACATCTTATCTTCCAAGAAACCAGCATTCTTCCCAAGGAGATGAGATCTCTCCTACCTTTGAATTGCTGTACAGTAGTCTCCCCTTACCCGCGATTTCACTTTCCAAGGTTTCCGCTACGCAAGGTCAATTGCGGCCCGAAAATATTAAATGGAAAATTCCAGAAAGGAACAATTCGTAAGTTTTAAATTGCGTGCCATTCAGAGAAGCAGGATGAAATCTTGCATCGTCCCTCTCCGTCCCAGGTTGAATCACAGCTTAGTCCGATGGATCCATGCTGTATACACTACCCGCCCATTGGCCACTTAATAGCTGTCTTGGTTATCAGATCAACTGTCACAGTATCTCTGTCCTTGTGTTCAAGTAACCCTTATTTTACTTAAAAATGGCCCCAAAGTGCAAGAGTACTGATGCTGGCAATTCAGATAAGCCAAAGAGAAGCAGTAAAGTGCTTCCTTTAAGTGAAAAGGTGAAAGTTCTCGACTTAAGGGAAGAAAAAAAATCACATGCTGAGGTTGCTAAGATCTACGGTAACTTTTATTAAAATATAGTTATAATTGTTCTATTTTATCATTAGTTATTGCTATTAATCTTACTGTGTCTAATCTATAAATTATACTTTATCATAGGTATGTATGTATAGGAAAAAACATAGTATACACAGGGTTTGGTACTATTCATGGTTTCAGGCATCCACTGGGGGTCTTGGAATGTATTCCCCTCAGATAAGGGGGAACTACTGCACCCTATTGTAAAACAATTATTCATGTCATTAAATGTGCTAGATAATTGTTATTACTATTAACTGTCCTAAAGTATACTTCACAGCACTAAACTCTCTGCAAATATTTTGAGACTTCATGATTTGTTTTTGATATAATAGGGCAATCTGCTTACAATTGTGGGAGATCAAGATTTGGCCAACCTGAAATATGTCTCTTTACCTTGATTGTTTTCTCTGACGGACATTTGACCTCCCCCACTAACTGCCTAAAGAATTTAACATAGAAGACCTGTTCCAGGAAGGAGTTACTGTCATATGATGGCCGTAATATAATTTAAAATAGATGTTACAATAGAAAGGCACCAACAGGGCCCTCTTATCAAAAATTCTGTCTCTTGCTGGCCACATTCTCTAGGTGGCCCTGCTAGGAGTTGCCAGACAAATATTTACATTTACAAGGGAAATTGCCATTTGTAAAGGTATCTCCCTCTCTGTACTGGGAAGAGGGGGGATGACCTCATCTCTAAAAACTTATCAGTGTGAAAGGTGAGGCCTTAAATCTGCATAATAACCTTACTCTTGTTTACTGTGCTTTTCTGGTAATCTCCCATAACTGACTCCCCCCACCCCCAAGAACCTCCTTTGTCTTTGGCTGAAGAGAGGATGAAAAATAAGAATCTCTGCTATTGTGCTGAGAAACTCAGTTTCCCTGGTTTCTCCCATGTATACACGTTATTAAATTTGGTACTATTTTCTCCTGCTAACCTGTCTTTTTTTTTTTTTTTTTTAAGATTTTATTGATTTTTTGCCCCCAAAGCCCCAGTAGATAGTTGTATGTCACAGCTGCACACCCTTCTAGTTGCTGTATGTGGGACTCGGCCTCAGGCTGGACAGAGAAGTGGTGCCTCAATGCGCACCCGGGATCCGAACCCGGGCCGCCAGCATCGCAGCGCGCGCACTTAACCACCAAGCCACAGGGCCGGCCCTAACCTGTCTTTTTAATTATTTGGCCAGCCAGAAGAACCTTAAGGGAAAAGGCGGAGGGGGATTCTCCTTCTTCCCCGACACAATCTAAAAATATTAGAGTGAACATTAGCTGAACAACAGATGACTGCCAGGATTTCTGGAACTCAGATCCTCCTGCCTCCAAAATAGGTATCTTTTACCACTCTCTAAAGCCTGGAATTTCTCAATTAGGTATTCATTAATTATGTGGAACTAAGGTTTCAATAACCAATTTTTTTAAATGCAAATAACCTCCAGAAAGTTCTGTTTCTGAAAACTGTGATATTTGTGAGGATCAAATAAGACAATGTAGGATTTCTTTGAGTCTCCAAGACAACAATCAAAAATTGGTCATTTTCCTTTTTTTTTAATTTAATTTAATTTTTTTCCCCCAAAGCCCCAGTAGATAGTTGTATGTCATAGCTGCACAACCTTCTAGTTGCTGTATGTGGGACGCGGCCTCACCATGGCCAGAGAAGCGGTGCGTTGGTGCGCGCCTGGGATCCGAACCCAGGCCGCCAGCAGCGGAGCGCACACACTTAACCAGTAGCCACGGGGCCAGCCCGAAAATTGGTCATTTTCTTTCCCATTCTCAGACTATTCCCAGTTAATGGCACCACCAACTCAATTATCCAAGCTAAAAGTCTGTCATCTTCCTTGCACTTACCCCTCATTCATCAGTTGTCAAGGCCTCTTGATTCTAAAATTCAAACTTTCCATTTCTTTCCATGTCCTCTTTATCTCACTGGGTTAAGTAATCGACATCCCCTATAAGTCATCCAATATGCAGAAGCATCTTCCTATTTTTTTTTTTTTTGTGAGGAAGATCGGCCCTGAGCTAACATCTGCCAATCCTCCTCTTTTTGCTCAGGAAGACTGGCCCTGAGCTAATATCCGTGCCCATCTTCCTCTACTTTATATGGGACGCCGTCACAGCATGGCTTCACAAGCGGTGCATTGGTGTGCATCCAGGATCCGAACCCCAGGTCGCCACAGCGGAGCGCATGCACCTAACCACTATGGCACTGGGCTGGCCCCTGGAAGCATCTTCCTAAAACACACTACTGATGTCGCTCTTCGGCTAAAACACTGCTGTCTACAAAATAGTTAAGATACTTTGGCTTTGCATTCAGTCCTCCCTTCCCCCAATTTGGTCCCAACTTCCTTTTTTTAGCCTTCTCTCTCAACACCTACATATCCCAAGAGCCCCATATTCAGATATATTAGAAAACATATCCTTTACTTATCTGCCAATTGCACCTGTTAAAACTATCCCCAGAATCCAGTTAAAACGCCCCATCTTCCATGTCTGAATTAACTCCACACCACTTTGTCTATATAATCATTTTAATACTCCTCTCAGTTTTTTTAAACCATAATATGCACACATCAGTCTTCAACATTAAAGTTCCCCACAGCTGAGGGGAGAACTTAACCTATTCTGGAATCACTTGATATTTGACATTTAATAAATAATTTAATTAAATAGAATACTTTTATCTGCTTATTTTCTGAGAAAAGTTTTCACTTAGGGTGAATGAAGATAACATGACAGTAGTAAATGTTTAAGAAAAGTGTGGCCACAGGGCCCTGCAGAAGGCTAATGTCAGGTGCTGTAGATTTTTCCCACTCACTATTCACAACTACCTTATGAGGTAAGTTAAAATTATCATCCTCTTTCTCTCTCTCTTTTTTTTACTTTTCTTATGGTAAGAGACAAGTTCATTTCAAAATGACATTTCCAGAAAGATGAAAAATTCTGCAGAAATACATTTCAGGGTTATAAATACTTGTCAATAGGAAAGAGATTAGTTTTACTTTATTGCCCTGTCAAGTCAACAGAATATAAGCACACTTATAATAAACATCCTCTTTTTTAAAAATGAAGAATTGCAGGTTCTGAGTAATTAAAGTGCTTTCCACTTAGCTTCCAAGATGTAATGACCCAAGGTCACACCGGTACTAAACTCTGGAGACAGGATTTGAACCTAGGCAGTCTAGCTCCAGAGGAAACAAACAAGACAAGGTTCTCCACTTTGCTGGATCTTACATTCTTGTAGTAGCAGACATAAACAATAACAGATTAAAACCTTTCATTCCACCGCGACAGATAAGGCTTCACATGCAAAATACCTCTGAGAGCAGGTACACAGCTGAAACACAGTAACCTTCAGTAGAACTAACAGCTTCTTTCCTGCTTCTAGTGGAAAGGAATAGATTCTCTGTAATTATTGTTCTGGACTTCCAAGAATGGAGAACAGTGTATAAAGAGGATCTGGGGGTGAAATTTTACCTCAGTTTATCTCCAGCTAGGCCTGATTAAATACTATCCAGAGGAATATTTGAAGAGGAGGATTTTTGTAATCATAAATGGCTTACAAGGGGATTTTATCAAGGAATGTTAGCAAATGTTGCTTTTTTTTGGTGAGGAAGATTGGCCCTGAGCTAACATCCGTGCCAATCTTTCTCTATTTTGTATGTGGGATGCCTCCACAGCATGGCTCGATGAGCAGTGTGTAGGTCCATGCCCAGGATCCAAACCAGCGAACCCCAGGCCGCTGAAGCAGAGCCCGAGAATTTATCCACTACGCCACCCAGCCAGCCCCACATGTAGCTTTTTAACAGGTTCAAATTCCTGCTGAAACTCTGTTGAATACCACTGGTCCTTTTCCATCATTTTTCCAGCAAGTCCTTATGTACAATGCCTCATAATGTGAAGTGACATAATTCAAATTAAATTGGGAAAAGGCAAGAGGAGTAAACAGAAAAAGATATTTTCAGGTTGAAGAAGATCTTTTTTGGCTTTAAAGTCAATTTTACTTCCTCTCCACATACTTGTATTGCATAGGGCAAACAGCTTAGAAGTATATCTTTGATCAAGAGGATTAAATGAAGTAATACCTTTAAAATCTTAGAATGGTGCACGGCACATAATAAGTCCTCAATAAATGCTAGCTGCCATTATTATTATTAAATTTAGTACAGTAGCACATTATTTTTGTAATACTTGAGTCACAGTTTCCTCATCTGTAAAATGGGGATAATAATGTACTTACTTTGCAGAGTCTTGGAAAGAATAAAATAGACTGAATACAAAGCATTTGATGCTTTGCTATTATGATTACTTATTTCCCTAGAATTCAACCCAGTCTCCTATGGGCTCCAAATGGCCCTCCCGTCAGTGCATTATGACCTTCCTAGGATCTAAGGTCTTTTCTTTCATGAGTCTTTTCCTCGCCAAGAAAACATTAAAAATTATTATTTATGACTGGGTTGACATAAAACGAATACAATGCAGGCTGGATCCATTATCCCATATTCCTTAACATTATAGGTTTTTTTCTGATTTTAAAAGAAAACATTTTCGTGGACCCCTAAAAGTATCATGTAGGCACTGCCCCTACTGGATGAGTTAGCCCTGAGCCTCTCCACCTGTCTACATACTACTTAGCATCAGTGGGCTCCTCAGCAACGTGACTTTCCATTTTGCGGGACTAGAACCTCATGCAGGTGGAACGTGCAAAGAATCCGGTGCCTGAGAAACATGGGTCTCACCTCTATGCCTTTCTAACCTCAGTTTCATCCGCAAATTATCACCAGTTGGGATGGCTGAATGGCAAAGTGTTTCACAAATGCTAATTAATAATTTAAACCCGATCGATTTGATTACTTTAGGAAAACCCTCAATCTCCTCAGGTAGCCCATGCTCTGTCTCTCTGAAGCCCCACGCCCGCAATTTCTTCCGGCTCCCTCCAAATCCCACCAAGGTCACCCGGGAACAGTCCTCCTTCCTTCACCCCGCAACTCCTGAGTGCACTTTCTCCCAAAACCAGCACCCACCGACAGTCTTCGGAAAGCCACGGGTGAGGAAGCCCCCGAATCCAAGTCGAGAGCCAAGGCGGCGACCAGATAGAGAGGCCACCGCAGTGACCGCAGCCCTCTGCAATAAACTCATGCCCGCCATGGCTACTGCGGGCAATACAAAACCCGGGTGGATAACGGGAGCCGAGAGAGCCAATTTACCAACGAGCGCGAAGGCGGAAGGTGGCCATGTTGCGTGAGGGCAAAGCCAATGCCGCTTCTCTGCATCCGGTCGGCGTGAGACGCCGGAAGTGACGTCCCTGTTGGCGGAAACATGGTTTGCTTACGCGAAAAAATGGCTGCGGCCTGTTTGGCCGTTGTTTGCAGAAGAGTCTCAGCAGTCCTGAAGGCTTCCAGGCCGTTAATAAGTCCTCAGGCCCCTGCTGGCACAGGGTAAGTGATGTGAGGAGTAGGTTTGTCCACCTCTCCAACTTTCGACCTTGTTTGGTTGCCAAGATGCTGAGAACAGCTCAAGGATGGAAAGGCCGCCGGGATGGCTGAGCTCGAACCCACCTTTGTGAGGAGTGAATGACTTTGGAGAAGTCGCCCACCTCCGACATTTCCGTTCCTTCCTCAAACATTTTGTTGTCACCTACTGTGGACCAGACAGTACTTGGGGTCTGTAGATGCCCAGTATTTGTTGAACTAAACCTAGAGGTAGAGAGCATCCTGTTTGGCTCGGTGAGTTGGGAGGAACGTCACTGAAGAGCTTTAGACTAGGAACTGAAGGCGGTGTCAGATTTGGATGGATAAAGAATAGGCCTTTGTACTTCCACAATCTGGCACAAAGAAATTGTTAAGTAAATATTGAGTGAATACATGAAAGTAGCCAAATGAACGGGAAGTCGCCCTGCAGGTGTGAGAAAGGAACATCCTATACATGGTGTTCCTTATTTCTGGAAAGATAGCTTGTCTTCTGGACAGACTGATCATTTTTGACTTTAGGGTTATATGGTTTCCTCCCTTTTGTTGGCTTTTGTTTATAATGAGTTGAATTTTATAAATAGTTGGGTATGTCAGATTTTTATTTTAGAGAAAGTAATGTATGTGCTCGTGAATCCAGCACAGACAATTATTTATCTATTCTGTGCTACAATATTATTACTTATGCCAACCTCAGAGATAAGCAATATTTTTGTTGTTTTGCAGAAGCTTAGAGGTTGTAACTTGATCAAGGTGGCAAACTTTAATCGTCTCTTCCATCTCATCATCCTTTTCCCTTAAAAAATTAATTTTAGATTTTTTTATTATTATTGTAAAATGAATATTTGTTCATTTGCAGACACTTTGGAAAATAGGGTATTTTGAAGACAAAAGTAAAAATCAACTATAATTGTACCACTCAGAGATAAACAGATTTCCTTCCATTCTTTTTAACTTTGCATATATACACATACTTGTAATTTTAAAATAAAATCAGGATTGTTTACATATACGCATTTTTGTGCTCTACCATTGTTTCCTCAACTTTCAAACCACCAGAAATTTTGTAAGAGTAGTACAAAGAATAGCCATATACTCTTCACCTATATTAACCAATCCTTAGCATTATGTCATGTTTTCTCTATCTCTTTATATCCATAGCTGTTTTTTTTCTGAACTATTTGAGGCATGTCAGAATTGTAAATGTCATGACACTTCAGCATATGTCTCCTTATAACATGAACATTGTCTTAATAACCACAGTACTACAATAATCACACTGGGGAATTTAATATCGATCCACTACTATTATTATGCTGCTGTTATCTAGCGTACAGTCCAAATTCAGATGTCCTCAATTGTCCTGGTAGTTTCTTTTTTTTCTTTCTTAACTTTTTATTCAGGGTCATATCAACGATCGTTTATTGCATTAGCTGTCACATCTCTTTTAGTCTTCTTTAATCCAGAACAGTTCCTTTTTTTCTCTTGCATGACATTGACATTTTTAATAGTTTTTTGTTTGTTTGTTTTGTTTTTCTGGTGAGGAAGATTGGCCCTCAGCTAACATCCCTTGCCAACCTTCCTCTTTTTGGTTGAGGAAGGTTGCTGCTGAGCTAACATCTGAGCCTGTCCTCCTCTATTTTGTATGTGGGACGCGGCCACAGCATGCCTTGATGAGTGGTGTGTAGGTCTGTGTCCGGGATGAGAACCTGCAAAACCTGGGCCCCGAAGCAGAGTGCACAAACTTAACCACTACGCCACCGGGCTGGCCCCTGACATTTGTAATAGGATCAGCCTTTTTAGAATATCACTGCATTTGAATTTGTGTGATTGTTTCCTCGTGATTAGATTCAGGTTAAATTTTTTTGGTAAGAATACAATGCCTGTGATGCACTTCACTATTGTGTTTTAAATTAATTCCCCAGGTCATTAAATATTCTTTGAAAACGTGATTTTTAAATTACTGCATAATAGATTATCATGCAGATCCACAATAATTTTCTTAACCATTCCCCTGGTTGCATGTTTATGTTATTATCAATAATATTACATTTCGATATTATATTTAATGCTTTAATAGACATTTTAATTTATCACTTCCCATCTATGATTATTTCTTTAGTTGAAATTTCTAGATGTGGAATTCCTGAGTTAAAAGAGGAAGCGTTGGGACCTCTAATACATGTTGCAAAATTCACCTTCAGAATGTTTCTCTCTGCTCATATGTATGTGAAGGACCTAAAAATATTTCCTTAAGGGGCTGGCCTGGTGGTATAGCAGTTAAGTTCATACGCTCCACTTCCACTGTCTGGGGTTCAAGGCTTCAGATCCCAGCACAGACCAACGCACCGCTTGTCAAGCCATGCTGTGGCAGCGTCCCATTTAAGGTAGAGGAAGATGGGCACAGGTGTTAGCCCAGGGCCAATCTTCCTTAGCAAAAAGAGGAGGACTGGCAACAGATGTTAGCTCAGGGCTGATCTTACACACACAAAAAAATGTTACCTTAAAATATAATTATGTCAGTATATTACCTCTGAAATTATGTGCGTGTATTAACCTCTGAAATTATAGGGTAGCAACATCTACAATGCAATATTAAAAATAATTTCTAAAGCATTTTATAAGTTTATTGTTTCTTGTGCAGAAACCCTGAGTAGGTTTTTTAACATTGTAGGTGAGGAAATGATTCTGTTTATTGCTTATAAAATCCAAATGTTATAAAACTTTAATCACCTGTTTATATCTGTTCAATTGCAGATTTTCTCTTAGTCTGTTGCTTAAGAGTACACCAAATGTCACATCTTTTCACCAGTGTAGATTACTTCATACCACGTTGTCGAGGAAAGGGCTGGAAGAATTTTTTGATGACCCAAAGAATTGGGGGGAAGAAAAAGTGAAATCTGGTGAGATACTTGGGTTGATTGATATTAAACGTATTTATTGAACTCTCCATCATTTTGGATTATTTATCCAGTTTGGGAATTATTTAGGTGTTTTTTTTTTTTAATTTCCTTTGGAAATGTCTATTAGGGAAAATTAAAAGGACAATATAATAGTTGAGTTAATTGTTCCTTGGCAGGTTGGTAAAGGGTTTTGAAGAGGAGTAGATTGAAATTATTAACTAAACTGAGGTTTCGGGTTTGTTTTAGAGATAATTGAAAATTAATTTATATTGGGGGCCGGCCCCGTGGCTTAGCGGTTAAGTGCTCGCGCTCTGCTGCTGGTGGCCTGGGTTCGGATCCTGGGCGCGCACTGACGCACCGCTTCTGTGACCATGCTGAGGCCGCATCCCACGTACAGCAACTAGAAGGATGTGCAACTATGACATACAACTGTCTACTGGGGCTTTGGGGAAAAAAAGGAGGAGGACTGGCAATAGATGTTAGGTCAGAGCTGGTCTTCCTCAGCGAAAAGAGGAGGATTAGCATGGATGTTAGCTCAGGGCTGATCTTCCTCACAAAAAAATAAATAAATAAATAAAAATAAAGAAAATTAATTTATAATGATATAATGTATTTTGACATTAGACTGTGAAAATACATTCTATACTAACATTTTTTGAATGCTATTGCCAGTCACATTACTAATATTTTCATATGTTCATAATTTAATCCTAATTATATATTATACTATAATGTAATAAAGCTATTGTACATTTTACAGATAAGGAAACAGGTTTAGAGAGGTAATTTGGTAATTTGCCAAAGGGCACATAGCTAGAAAATTATTTCATGTTATTAATTTATCATTTCAATAGGAGCTTCATGGACCTGTCAGCAATTAAGAAACAAGAGTAATGAAGATTTACATAAACTTTGGTAAGTATACTGAGTACATTAACATCTAGTTGTTTGAAGCAGTTACAGTATAACAATGAGGTATAGACTTTACATCTATTTGATATACGAAATTGAGTAAAGTTATTTGTCTTATAGTACTGTGGATGATATATAAGATCATTAAAGATTTTATAAATTCGACACAGGTTAAATTACATTAAGACAAATGTATCAGAGTTCTCAAGTAGTTAGGGGTTTAGAAATTTTCCTGTAGCTGCTACGAGTCATACTAACAATTTCAGTAAACTAATGAAATGGGGAAGAGTTGGTCATTTAGGCCTTCCTCCTTTTTATTGCCTTTTGCATAGTCTGGAATCTTTGGCTTATTTGCTTTAGCAAAGTGTGTTGGAGGGTGCATTTAAAGATTTTATTTATTTATTTTTTCCCCCCAAAGCCCCAGTAGATAGTTGTGTGTCATAGCTGCACATCCTTCTAGTTGCTGTGTGTGGGGCGCGGCCTCAGCATGGCCGGAGAAGCAGCGCGTCGGTGCGAGCCCGGGATCCGAACTCGGGTCGCCAGCAGTGGAGCGTGCTCACTTAACCACCAAGCCACAGGGCCGGCCCGGAGGGTGCATTTAATTGGGAATTTAAGTAGATTTCTCTGGCAGGTTCTCCTGAGGAATTAGAGAGGGTTGAGAGGATTTAAGACAGCGTTGCATTTTTAGTTGACTATATATATATTTTTATTGAGGTATAATTGACATAACATTATATTAGTTTCAAGTGTACAACATAATGATTTGATATTTGCATATATTGCAAAATGATCACCACAATAAGTCCAGTTAACATCCATCACCATACATAGTTACACAATTTTTTTTTCCTTGTGATGAGAACTTTCAAGATCCAATCTCCTAGCTACTTTCAAATATGCAATACGATATTACTAACTATAGTCACCTTGCTGTACATTACATCCCATGACTTACTCATTTTATGACTGAAAATTTGTACCTTTTGACCCCCTTCACCCATTTCACCACCCCCTACACACATTAATTGACTATATTTAGCCCAAAGATATGTTTTATTTGGACTGTACTGTTTTTAAAATTGGGAAATTTCACACAAAAACAAGAATTTCTGGCTTCTCTTGAGTAATCAGACCTGGGATCTGGCAATGCTGGACCTGCATTCCTACATGGTACCAACTTCCCCATCTAGGTGGAGCAGTGCACACCGCTTCTTACCCCTCCTGTTGATCTTTCACCAAGCCCACATCACTCATAATGGTTATCTGTCTAGACACTGTAGCCATTTAAAGTTTTATCCTTTGATTTAAAGAGTTATTTATCTTTCTTTTTTTTTTAATAACTTTTTATAATTTTATTTATTTATTTTTTCCCCCAAAGCCCCAGTAGATAGTTGTACGTCATAGCTGCACATCCTTCTAGTTGCTGTATGTGGGACGCGGCCTCAGCATGGCCAGAGAAGCAGTGCGTCGGTACGTGCCCGGGATCCAAACCCAGGCCACCAGCAGCGGAGCGCGTGCACTTAACCACTAAGCCATGGCGCCGGCCCATGAGTTATTTATCTTACACGGCAGATTAAAGAATTGTAAAAAACCACTAATATTATAGGCTTATTCGTGTGATTCAACAAGAAATATATGTTTGGTCTTTGTCCCCAGTTCCTTGACACACAGGTCCCAGATCCCTTGGAATTTCCTGGGTGATAGAATTGTCTTTTGTTGTAATAGGCAGTTCTTGGTAGCCCCTAGATAGATTCAGGATAGAGGCTGGTCCAGAAAAGCCAGTTAGAATAGAGGGTGGAGTTTTCAGCCTCACCACCACCCCCACCTCTGGGGAGGGGAGAGGGGCTGGAGATTGAGTTCAGTTAGTGGCCAGTGATTTAATCAATCATGTCTACATAATGGGAAAAAACTATATAAAAAATCTTAAGCAACTGGGTTTGGAGAGCTTCCAAGTTGGTGAACACATGCAGGTGCTAGGAGGGTGGTGTGCCCTGAGAAGGCATGCAAGCCCCGCCCCTTCCCATGTACCCTGTCCTATGCATCTCTTACATTTGGCTATTCCTGAGTTGTATCCTTTATAATAAAGCAGTAATAGTAAGTAAAGCACTCTCCTGAGTTCTGTGAGCTGTTCTAGCAAATTATCAAACTCAAGGAGGGGGTGGTAGGTACCCCCAGTTTATAGCTGGCAGTATGGGAGGCCTGGAACTTGCTATTGCCATCTGAAGTGGGGAGCAGTCTTCTGGGACTGAACGCTTAAATCTGTGAAATTGGGCACTAGCTCTAGGTAGTTAGTGTCAGAGAGTTGGAAAAGTGGTGTTGGAAAAGACAATATGTATTTGGTGTCAGGAGGGAAAAAACCTCTCATTTGGTGTCAGAAGTGTTATGTGTAAAACAGCACAGATTCATTATAGAAAAATAAGTTGTATTAAAGCACTGTCAGTAGGTTAGTGGTAAAGGGATAATTAGGGCTGTTTCAATATTCATTGTGGTTAAAACCAAACAGTTTATCTTCTGCCACTCTTTCCCCCAAAATTGTCTTCTTCCATAGCGTAAATTACCCCAATCTCTTTGTCTCATTTTCAGTGCCCTCCACATTTATTTCCTTTCCTTTCTTTCAGCTCTAGTTCTCAAACAGATTCATTCACAAAACCTGCCCCCCCTTCAGCTCTGCCACGTCAATTTGTTTGGTTATGTTTGCTTTGGTTTCCTTTCCAGCCTAATGAATCCCATCTCTATGAAACTTTCCATGGTCGTCTTAGCTAGAAGAGAGATCTCATCTCTCCCGCTTAATTCTTCTGGTACTTGTTGTTCTATACCACTCAGTACACCACATCACATTACAGTTTCAGAGGCAGCATGGTGGAGTGAAAATAGAATGGGTTTTCACGCAGGGCGTCCAGAATTTGAATCTTGAATTAGCTATGTGCTCCAGAATACTTTACTTCTCTCAGCCTTATTTTCTTCATTTAGAAAGTGGAAATAGTACCAACCTCAAAGGCTTGTTGAGAGAATTAGATGAAATAATGTATATAAAGTGCTTAGCGCATTGCCTGGCATACAACAGGCACTGAATAAGCATTATCTTCCATCTTCTCTCTTCACGTGGAATGCAGGCACTATATCTTATGCTCTTTTGTAACTCTCCTGGCACTTAATACAATATGTGGCACATGGAAAATTTATTGAACAAGTGAATAACGATAGCTATAGCTCTGTTTAAAGTATTATTCTTTGTAATGATATTCTATATATTGAGATTTTTAAAGGACTTTTGAGTACAGATCATTAATTTTGATGTCAAAAATCACAACTTTAGGGGGCCGGCCCGGTGGCGCAAGCAGTTAAGTGCGTGCGCTCCGCTGCGGCGGCCCGGGGTTCGCCAGTTTGGATCCTGGGCGCACACCGATGCACTGCTTGGCAAGCCGTGCTGTGGCAGCGTCCCATATAAAGTGGAGGAAGATGGGCACAGATGTTAGCCCAGGGCCAGTCTTCCTCAGCAAGAAAAGAGGAGGATTGGCAG